CGTCCAATGAGATGTCGAGTATTGTGTCGATTTGTTTCAGTGATGCCGACTCCACGTACGTACTGACTGTCAGCACCCATTGAGAGCTATTTTTAGGGTCGGGTTTTGTGTCTACCATTACGTCCCGAAGGACTGCCTTATCGTACGCCTCGATGCCAATGGGTTTCCATATGCCTTGTGTGGGAAATGCCGGCCCCTGTTGTTAAGGAGACTTTTGATTTCAAAGTTTGAAATAATATGTGGAGTATAAAGGGAAAGGGATTAACAGGTCGTACTAACCCAATCCCAACTGTAAGAAGCGGCCATTTTTCGGATAAAATCATAATAGCATTCATTGTCAGCGCCTTTAGTGCAGTCTATTATAAATGGGGAATTAATCAACAATATATAATGTTATTAATCAACAATGATGAAATCTAAATTAACACAAACGCATAAATTCAGGTGAAAACTATTTGCGTGTGATTTCAACGATTGTGGCAAAAGTTTCAGACAATCGTCAACTTTTAACTTTCATATTAAATCTCATAAATAACATTATTAATGTTACATTAACTATTGAGATATTTTAATTAAACAAGTTTTTAAACATTCTTCAAGTTTTACTATACTTCTGTTAACTAATGAGTACTTAATTAACCCATATATTATAATATATTGCTATAAATCATCATTGATAACATACCATACACTTTATACTTGTATTGAGTCTCGTATTGTTTTGCCCTTTTCATTGAATATAACGGCGCCGACTGTATGGCCACTCGTATGACGTTTGGACCCAATTTGAGCACTTTCTTCACATCAAACTTATATCTTATGAACTGATTGTCTGTCCGACCGATCAATTCATCATTTATGGTGACAGTGCTTACGGTGTCGATGCCATCGGCCAACAAATATACGTATTGTTTGGCTAACAATTTTGTGTCCACTATATTCAACACAATATTTGTATCAAAAAACTAATTATTAGTTATAATTATACTACCGTTGAATGTGCGCTCAAATGTCCAGTTGTCGTACGACACCCACCGATACTTGAGGTCATTATCCGTTTTATACAGACTTTCCTTAAGTATACCCTCCCGTCTCAGATCCGAGTATATACTGCCCGGCACTTTGGCTTTTGCTTGTATAGCTATTTTCAAAATAAATCATTTAATTATTTTAATTAATAAAGCACTTTATTAAATGTATACAAAATGTTTACATTTATTTTGACTGATTGCCACCCATTCGGTGCCATCGAGTGATAGATAGTCACCATTT